TTCAAGGCAGTAAAAATACTTTTTTTCTCTAACTCAAAAGCAAATATGGTGAGGTTATAAGACTGCTTTTACAAGTGAAAAGGCAGATGTTAGAAAAGTGACTCAATTTCTTTGGCTAACAAATTTCTCTTTGAAGATGCAAATGCCTGTGAAAAGAGTGATTATTTGTCATTAACATCTATCATGTCATAGTTCAATCAGTTGCTTTCTTCTGAACACTTAATTGGGATGATGTGGAAGAATATTGGTGGAATATTTTTTTTTAATTCTCTTTAAGTTGACACTCAATGTATAAATATATACTTATTCCTTTTCTGCATCAAAACATACTTGACTTTGACTATTGTAGGAGATAAATATCTAGGCTATCTGTAAAAAGTTATTAGGTAAATGAAAATCAGTGTGATATCTGCTGGATTTGATAAATTAAAATATTTTTTAAAAATATTATTCGATAAATATATATTTTTTCAATATATTATTTGATAAATTAAAATATTTTTTTAAAAAAATCAATTCATTACAGAGCCTAAATAAATCCTGTACATGGTCATTGCCAAGCAATATAGCACAGTGTTAGAAGCACTGGATCTAGGGCCTTCCTGCTTGTATTTAAATCCAGACTCTTCTCATTAATAGCTGTGACCCAACGCAGTTGCTTAACTTCACTGAATCTCAGTTTCCAAATTTCTAAAAGAGGGTAATGATAATTTCCACTTAATGGGGCTGTGGTTTGAAGCCAATGCATTAGGACACGCGAAGACCTCAGAACAATGCCCAGAAGATTCTAGCAATTACTAAGCAGTACAGGTTGTACATCCCTCATCCAAAATGCTTGGGACCTGAAGTGTCTCAGATTTTGGAATTTTTTAGATGTCGGAATGTGTACATTATACTTACTGGTTGGGCATCTCTAATCCTAAAATCTGAAATGCTCCACTGAGCATTTCCTTTGTGTGTCATGTTGGCAACCTTTATGTCTATAGCGGTGGTGAAATGATTTATTTTGCACGTGAATCCATAATGCAGAAAATAGTTGGGAGATGAGTATACATATAACCATTTTTGTATGATCTACTAGGTCAATCATCATATATATATGTATATTCATGATTTAATAACTGCAACTATTTCTCATTAAGTAAAACATCTGCCATAATCAAATTGAAAACACTTGCATCAGGGATAGGTTTCTAGAGCACTCGTCCACGAACAGGTTCTTAGATATTTCTGCCAGGAAAAATGTGGCAAGGAGGGGACTACCCACATAGCAGAGGGGATCATGGGTCGTTACATAGAAACACGGACCTAACACTGGAATGCCACACAGCATTCTGCCCAAAACAGAGTCACATGGATGCTACTCTTCCTCATGGATTCTCTGTTGTGTTTTAGCATCAGAATGGATTAGACTTGGCTAGTCACAGGAAATCCTGTAACAAAAAAGTCAGGTCCTTGAAGAGCAACTGTGTCTAACGCAATATTTGGCTCAGCTAGAACATCTCACTGCTGCTCAATTCAAGATAAAATACTAATCAGACAGCAATTTCCATGACTATCCTGCCTCCCACTTCTATTTTCCTTCAGACAGGAGAAAGAAAACTGATCATAAGACCAATTTTAAAAAATCTATCAAGTTAATTTTGTCTCTTTTAAGCTATAATTTCAAATGTGTAATTCTGGATATCCTGATATATATTTGGGCCCAAAAAAGATAATTCTTTTTCCAGCTTCTGGGTGTTTTTCCCATAAAAAACCACATCCATGAAAGGTTGAGTCTGATGCAGGTTGCATTTAATGACAGAGACACAAGAAGACAGTGAGTGGAAGCCACCAGGTCCCTCTGATCAGGGTGTTTCATCTCCACAGTGACACCTCAGGCCTCTCCCGTGCAAAGGCCCTGTGGTGTGGGCTTTCTCTTGGCTGCTTCGTGGGCTGTGGACTCTGTGTAGAAGCTGGAGATTGTGAGAGCTGAAAATAGGCACACTACCCTATATCTCCTCAAAGACTATAAATAAAAACCTCTCAGAAACATACAGCTTTAGAGTTGAAATATCATTGAGTCCCATGGTTTAAAAAAAAAAAATGGCAGCAGCAAAACTTTTCAAAGGAAAGCATATCACAGAATTACAATATCTAAAACTGACAACAACCAACAAAAATGGGGCTCCTTAGTTCAAGTTTGAAAGGAGTAAGAAGATGGCACCACCCTACTGAATCTCCCCTACTTCTCTACTTCTCTCTAAGCTGCTTGTTTGGTTCGCTACAAAATCTGTGAGTCCCACAGACCTTCAGAATGGACAGCATGCAGTTTGGAAGCTCCTTCACCTCCTTCTGTCTCCTTCTACCATTGTACAACTTGGGTGCTTGATGAAGAAATTGAAACCAGAGAATTTCAGTAATTTCCCTGTGGTTACACTATTAGAGAAAGAAGTAATATTGGACTACTGGTCTATGTTTTTTACATATATATATAAAACACTGTCTGGATACAAAGGGAATGATTCCTAACACCATTTGAAACTATTTTTCAAATTCTTTCCCATCTGAATACATTAAACTGCAAAGAGAGTGGAATTTGTCACATACTTCTGAATGACTTCAGACACTGAAGACAATTAGCCATGGTTAATCTTTGAGGGAAATTATTCAGGGAAATAGTCTTAGACTGCATGAAAATTCATGGCAACCATGGACAGTTCAATCAATCAGAATATTATTTATTCATCATCAACCGCATGCTCAGACCTCTGCAGGATAAAAAAAAGCATAAAACATGGTATATGGCCTTAAGGAATTGACTGTTTTGTTAGGCAGACTGTGTGTGTGTGTGTGTGTGTGTGTGTGTGTGTGTATTTAGTAGATAGATATCAGTTGAATTGTGTAGAATTTCATAAAAATTCATTATAGTGAATAAAAGGGAGGAAGACAAGCAGATTCTGTTACTTATCAATTGAAAAATGAAAGAGAGAGAAAGGAAGAAGAATAGGAAAAGGAGAAAAATAAAGTGATTGTTTCGGAGTTTAGTTTTAGTCTTTGGAGTTATCAGTAGGTTGATGGGTCTGTTGGGCTGTTCAAAGTCTCTTGGCCAGTCTAATTTCCGGAAAGAAGAAGTGAAGAACTTTGCAAGAAAGATAGATAGCATGGGCTAAAATAGATTTACCATGAAAAGAGAAATAGAAATGAAGAATACAGAAATGGAACCAGGAGCTTAGAATTTTCTATCTACTATATTTCCTGAAATTAGACTCTGTAAAAATCTCCTTAGAGATTTTAGACTCGTGACTCATTTTCTAGGCTTGTGTAAAGGGTTTAAGTTGTTTTCAATCAAAGTTTTCTTGAATAAGTCAGATTAAATGAATCCAAATTGCCTAGTAAAGTGTATAATACGTAGGAAGCAAAACATAATATATATCATTATTAGGTTGAATTATCGCAATTTCTGGCACTCAGAATTCACATGGTTCAAATTACAAAAAGGAAAATGCAAAGCTGCTGCAATTTTCAATATGTTGTAGAAGGGAAAAAACACTAACTGAAGTTTGGGAGCCAAGAGCTTTGGTCCTATTTCTACCACCAAGGGTCCAGTTGCCCGTGGACAAGACAGAGGCCAGGAAGTGACCGTTTTCTTTTCTGTTTCTGACTATGGAGAAGATGGGTTATTTCAAAGATATTTTCTATCTTTAAATTTATATAAATCTGAGATTGAATCAAAGGCCTGGTATGATCTACAAATATCTTTAATGTTTGTTCTGTGAAATCCTCCAAGCATAAAATTATATGACTTTGAAATGAGAAAAAAAACAAGAGATTTTTCTCTATGTGGACTTTTTTGTTGTTGTTGTTGGCTTTTCAGCCTTGTACTATATGTGTAAACTCATTTCAGAGACTTCTAAATAATTATCACTGATTAGGGGACAAGGGAAATTTAGTTTCTAAATCATAACATGTGGGAAGTGTATGCTTGTTTTCCCTGACATTAACAGGATCTTAATTCTATCTGAGAAGCTGACTTAACACAGGTTTAATCTTGTATATGTGTTATTATTGAGAATGAATCTGCTTTCCCATTTGATAGAAAATATGATTGTGTTCTGATGAGAGTGACATTTAAAATTGGTTTCCTAGACCCAGTGTGGCCATAGAAACCTCGCAGATGGAAGAGGAGAAAAATGTCAGAGAAGCTGGTACACTTGGATTTGTTTCTGCTGCTCACACTTTCCTCCTGATACCTGCTTCTTGGCATTGCCTCCAGTGCCTCAAAAGGAAAACATGTTGCAGAATGATGTATTAAAACATTGTACAATATTTTAATATGTTTTCAAAAGGGAAAAACCTTCTCCTCTCTCCTATGGCTGCCATCTACCCATATTCATCTTCCTCCCTCCTTCCTCTATTCCTCAGGACACTACAGCGTTTTCCTGGGTGACAAAGCAAAAGGAAACTTGGTGGTTTTAACAAGGATTGGACATTGCAAGAGACTGCCATTTCTCATCATACCCTTTTCAACAGCAGTTCAAGGACTCACGGTTGCAAAGTTGATATATGTTATTTCGAGCAAAAAATCAACAAAAGAAAGCAAGAAGCTGAGGTCTCTTCTATAAGTCACACTGTTTTTTATCACAGCCCATCACTTGATAACTGTGTCTTTCTCTCCAAGACAAAACTTCAGAGGTCTGTCTTCTAGTATAAACCTATGACAAGGGACCTCTATGGTTTTAGTGGTTGGAATTGTTACAACCTGTAAGTCACATAACACAGGGGAAGACTATGACGTAGAAATAAAAGGTATTCTGTTTATTAGATAAGCTCTTTTGGAAGAAAGAAATTCAGAATGAAACAAATTAAATTAACCTGGCAATATTATGGTTCATCGCATATTCATGTATTACTCAATGATGACTTCATGCTTGCCTTCTCGTTCCCTTCATTCTCTTCTTTTCTGGGTTTTGGTTATGAATTCCATATATATTTATCCATTGTCAATGACATTGGTCTAAAAAAATTATGTTAGATAATTTGGATATTAATCTAATCCAACCATCATCAAAACATAGTGGTCAAATGGGTATAATTCCTACCTTTCACTGCAATAGGAAATATTTGTGAATGTTCGAAGTCTAGTCTACTAAAAATGTAAATGTCCTCTTCCTAGTCAATTTTCTAGCATCCTTACAATTGTGACTTACCCAGGCAGGCTGAACCTGTGTTGGTTTTAAGAGCAGCTTCTAGGCTAAATGCATTGAGTAACAGAAATGAGAGGAATGACATGGTAGCAACTCTGTCCCTTAAGAAAGCAGTGATATGCACCATGAGAAACTATAGTCTGCCCACTGGAATTGAAGAAAAATCACTGCTGTTGTTATTGTGAAACAGGAGGAGACAGGGGATTACAAGTTAAATGAGATTTTTCCTTCTAGAATTGAAGAGCAAGTTAATCCAAACGATAAATTGGATGGACTTTCTTTCAAAATTGTGGGCTTCCCATTCCTGCAAGTGTTCAGACAACAGATGGACAGAAATCTATGGGAATCCTGTAATGGGGAGAATTTGCACCAGGTGAGCTCTAAGCCCTGTCTAATGCTGAGAGTCTGTGGTTCTAGAAACCATATGGTGAGGGCATTAAAAACAGGACCGAGAGAAGAGGGATACTGTTAATCCCCCAGTTTTCTTAAAATTTGTCTCTTTTTTGCTGGCTCTTTGGAAAGGGCAGCCTTTTTTTTACAACACAGATGGTAAATTGAACTGGTATTTTAAAGTTTATATATAATCTGCTAGCCTGTTTCCTAAGCTTGTTTCTATACTATTGTAGTAATCATTTTAAAACCATTAATAATTGTGTCTATTAAATAAATTTCCAAATGTTCTGAGGCAGAGTGTCAGAGATGAAGCATTCAAGATGTCTAGAGCTTGGAATGAAGACTATGAATGACATTCACTTTGTGGCAGAAGGGAAGAGCATAGGAGATTATTCCCCAGTTCTCTTGATTTCTACCTGATGATTTACAGGTATGTAAATTAGGAGACAACCACAGAAGGTACATTTAATGACATCTTAATGCATCATGGAATTTACGACAAGGCACGAATAGCTTGTGCACTCAACCATTGGAAGCAGATGCTGCAATAATTCTACTTAATACTTAGAAGCAAAGTAAAGCATATTGTTTTTTTGTACAAATGTTTATGAAACATTAATAAGAATAATATGCATCATTCAACGCTAAACATATAATCTGAAATCCTTTCCTATAAATATTTATTAAGGAGACATTTTCGTTCTCAACAGAAATGGATTTCAAGGCCAGATTCTAAGACGCTGCATGGTTTTATTTTCTCCTGGTATATATTTAACTAGAGTAAGACTAACTGACTCATAGGGCAGTATCATTTTGTACTGTAGCAACTTGGTGAGAGCCCAAAGGGATTGCTTTGCTTTGAATCAGTTCATAAAACACACTTTCCACTACAATAGCTCAGTTAGTGGCTTGGAAATGAAAGTCTTGACTATTGTGTTAGATAGGAACTACTGTGTTTGGAAGAATTAATGAGCTTCATTATGTTCCAGGAAGTACACAGTTTCTAAATTATGTGGTAATGCTTGATGTTTATAATATAAAATATTTTAAAAATGCCTTTTCCATCAATGCCTCAAATGTTGGCTTGGTTATTCATAATGACCAATTATAGATATGAAAGGAGGCAGAATATATTTGAGGAAAAAAACCTCTACATTCCAATATTACAGGAAATTTGATTTAGTGTGCAAAATGCTATCATTCTTCACTGCTAACTATGGTGCAAGGCTCTTAGCCAGACCATTTTCTTTCTGGCAGTATCTTCTCTATTTGCAGTTGTATTATGTTTCTTTTAATGACTTTTACTAGCCAATGTCAGGTTTGGGCTTTTTTCCCCCCCTCCTTTTAATGGGGAAACTGTTTTAAAGAAATAGGATACTCTAACTGTGATTTTCTCCCACTTAAAATGATCCTAATTGCTAATTGCTCTTCCACGTCATAGTGCTGTCTATCCTTAGCTTCCTGCGTTTGGTCAAAAATGTCAAGATTATGAAATGAATCATTTTTATAACTTTATTTGTGTAAGTATTTAAATATGGATTAAGTTTAACATGGCAAATTGAGCCTTCTCAAGCGATGCAGTGAATGTATTTAAAAGCATCAGATGAAATGTGAGCCTTGGGAAAAGTGAAAAGGGCTTTATGGTCGAAAGAATATTCCACAGCAACTAAGCAGAGAAAGGACAGATTGAAGGTGGTTAGGTACTATGCATGGGAATGATTTTTAAAGTAATGCTAAATTTGCTTAACTAATACCACTTAAATCTGCCCAACCCATTTGAAATAATATGATTGGTATTCAAATCGACCCTGAGACATTTGATTATTACATAATCACATCCGAACTCTTTGATCCATCAGCTCATGTCTTACCGTTTAAAGAGACTGGGATTTGTAACGTTTCTGAATTTTGTGTTTGTCTTAGGTTTCTGAATACTGCTATACACACAAAATGTCCCAATCTAAAGAAGTCTCTACCCCATGTATTAGAAAACTATGCCATATCTTAGGATATTTAAAAAGCTATTTTTTACCAATTCTTGTCCCAACTGCTGAAAATTATTAAGAAATTGTAAGACCAAATTGGTGAAAATTTTCTTCTTTTCTATTGCTGTATATCTATTATACAGTATGGACTTCTTCAACATATTGAGAGCTTTTAACAAATTTGATCTTGGTTGTGTCTAGAATATCCCTGTGAAATACATTTTAGCAGCACAGCATATACTTATAAGACTATAGTAATAAAAATAATCTAGCCATGGTACTTAGGCAGATATTTTCTCTAATTAAAATAAATTAGGATAAAGTTAATTTGTATTAGAAAATGCCAAAGTATCAATTATTATTTTAAAATAAAGGCTTCATAAATATTTGAGTTTTCTCAGTATCACAAACTTTGTTTTACAGTGGGAAGAGAAAGAATGGCAATTCATGACTATATTCCACAGCCCATTTGAAGTGAGTAGAGACAGTGATTATGATTTAAATAAGCTATAGAGTAAATCTAGGATAACAATATTCCAGAGCCTGATTGTGCTCTACTTCTACCTATATGTCTTTCTTTTGAGGCTATGCTCTTAATTCCCTCATTAGACTCCACATTTCAGCCTTACCTGGATGCTGGGTTATGCCTATGCTCTAGCCCCATTACAGCCCCTGCTTAGTCAACCATACGGGACCACGTGATTCCAACAGCCACTACAGGACTGTCCCTGTCCTCTCTCCTACCTTTGCTATCGTTTGTGATGGAGGTGGGAGAGCCTCCTGTCCTCCAGCTCTTATCCCTAACCTTTCCTGAGAGTGTCCTCTGTCCACTACTCTCCCTTAAAATCTGGGGTAGCAATAGTTGCAGAAGGCGGGAATAAGAATTTTTATATATTATATTACGCTTAATTGCACTACAACTCCATTTGGAGCTATGAGGGAACAAGCTGAGGGAGGTCAAGTACCTTGCTCAAAGCCACACAGCGGTGATGTGACCACTTTCTGATTCCTAAGCCTCCTTTTCCCCACTGATCATGGTGGTGGCAGCAGGACTGCCCAGTGAATATGTGCTCTTACGTGACAACCCCTGCCTGTGTCCCCATGGCCAGTGCTGTATCTGCCATTATTTCTGGTTCCATCCAGAATGGGTCAAAGATTATCAATGCATTATACCATTTAATTTGCTAGTCAATTATGAACAGAGCTTGTAATCTTTAATTAGTCTAGGAATCTAACTATTTAATGGAATATGTGGTGTTTCGTCAAAGAGAGCTTTAATTGGATATATTTGAAATATACAACTCAATCATCCAGGTTCTGTGGGCAAAAGTTTTTAATCAATTCCTCCTCTAAGAGTTTATTTTCTTCTGAAAACAATCCTTTATGCTTGACACTTGGCATGTGAATAGGAGTTTGAAAGAGAGAATGAGCTTGGGGGGCAATAAAGGAATAAATGATTTGAGAAAAAGGCTTGAGGAAATGTCAAATTGAGAATATAGATTTCTGGGGACTGCTACTCTTGTAACTTATTTTCTTGGATATACTCTTTGACAAGCTTTCATAAATATTTTCTTTGTGTCTTCAAATGAATTTCAAAGTCTTAAAGCTTGGAGGATAAATAAAGTGTTTTATTAACATTGTGTCTATGGTGTCTCATCGTATACAGACATGCATGACCAAGACAATGGTCCCATGAGATTATAATACTGTATTTTTATTCTATCTTTTCTATGTTTAGATATGTGTAGATACACCGATACTTACCATTGTGTTACAACTGCCTACAGTAGTCAGAACAGTAGCATGCTGTACAGGTCTGTGGTCTAGGCTGTACAATATAGCCTTGGTGGTAGTGGGCTGTAAAATTTAGGGGTGTGTGAGTAGTCTATGATTTTCACACACCGATGAAATCACCTAATGATGCATTTCTCAGAAAGTATCGCCATCATTGAGCTACACATGACTGCAGTTGCTATTAATATTTCTGCATAAATGGATGTGAATGGAAGAGTAAACCTTAATTATTGTATATTACATGATACAACATATTTGCTTGACTAAGAACTGTCAATTGTCTTTGGATCGTGAGTCTAAGGAACAATAATAAAATCTATGGAGCAAAGACAAATTAATCAGAACAAAGTGATTAAAAGTTATGTTTGCAAGTTTGGGTATACGTGTATAAGACTATGGTGGTCACAAGTATATATGTGTGTTTAGTATGTATAGGAGTATATGTCCTACACAGTGGCTTCTCAAAGTGGGCACTTTTTGTAACTCATTTGATTGAACAACATCCACTTTATGCTTTTACTCCTAGCTATCATGCATAGGCAATCTAGAACCAGCTCTTTACCTTGGGGACCTGAGAAGAAAGCTCTTGCATGCTATTGCTTTCTATCAATGGCTGGTGACAGTGACAGTGGTGATGAGAAGGTTGCAGAAGCCCTGGGCTCTGACATTGCTGGTGGCGATAGGAGAAGAAGGGCAGGAGTGAAGCCTCAGATGCTGGACTTGCCCAGGGATGCTTACGTTTTATTCTGTATTTGCATAGCAATTAAACAACTTTTAGTATTATTCTAACCACTAATTACTGCGACATCTTGAAAGCCATTTATAAGAATTTAGATTAAAACAATATTTATTAGATATCCATTCTTTCAAAATCAACCAGGCTAAGGACTTCTGATTCTGGACCAAGCTAGAGTAAACATATTTCTCCTTGTTGCTTCTGATCAGCACAGCTAAAGACCATGGATATTATCTGAAGAACAAACAAGGACATTCTGAAAAGTAGAGAAGACTGCAGATCAACAATAGACACCAAGGAACAACAAACGACAAAGTCAAAGGGTGCACCGTTTGCCTCATACATCAGAGACCAGGAACCAAAAATGCAACAAACCACAAAATACCAAAAACAAAAAACAAAAAACCAAAAAAAAAAAAAACAAAAAAAAAGAAAAAGGAACACTGTACACAACAGTAAACGGAACTCAGACTCCAGGGTCCAAAGACACAGCACAGGGAAAACCGAGAACCTAAACCCACACGCCAGACCAGAGACCAAAGACCAAAAAGAAGAACGAAAAGCTGAAAGCGAAACAAAAACAAAACAAACCACACACGAAGCAGCAACAAGCAGCATTTTTAGAAGCAAAAGCAAAGGTTAATATTACAACAACAACAAGACAGAGCAATCAAAAGAAAAAGAGAAAGAAGCTGGATAGGTGAGGAGTGCATGAAATAAATGTCAGCAGAGAAATAGTCTGGATACTTGCCTCTCTTTGTGTCACAAGATAAAGGCAGAGCATTTCTACACTGTACTGTTACATGTGATGAAAGATTGATTGGATACTTTATGACAATCACAAGCATCCAGGACAATGGTTGGATAAAGATGAAGTGTGAAAACACAGTCCAAAACCGATATTCATCCAAAAAAAGCTAATGGCATCTTGTTTGGTGTTCCAGCTCTGGTACTATTCACTACAGCTTCATGGAACCTGGCCGGTCATGACAGCGGATGTCTACTGCAACCAACTGGACAAAATGATGAGGGTGCTTGAGATTGAGCTGCCGAGATTGGTCAGTAGAGACAGGCCAATCCTCTTGCAAGAAAATGCTCAACCACATGTCACACAAACCGTGCTGCTCAAACTACAGAGGCTGGGCTTGGAAACTGTCATCCACTGTATTCACCAGACCTTGCACCAACTGACTACCACTTCTTCCAGGCTTTGGACCACTTCTTGCAAGGAAAAACATTCAATTCTCAACAAGCTGTGGTATGTGCCTTTTCCAATTTCATTGCCACTCACTCTCCAGGATTCTTCAATGTTGGCATAAGCAAGCTACTGTTAAGATGGCCAAACCATGTCAACAGTTTAAGCGCTTACCTTGATTAATTGTACTGCTTCTTGTTTGAGATACAATAATCTTTTGATTCAAAATTGGACATTTCATATTTAATGACCTGATCTTTATATTATAACATGCTGGCTTCAAACTGGGCACTGTGCACTAATTACTTAAAATATTAAAATCTAAAAGGCTAAATTTCTTCACTACATTTCCTAATTTCTAAGAATTCTAAAACTATATGATATATGCTTTAGTTTCTTTTTTTTCTTTCCTATAAGCATTCCAGGAAAAAAATGTATAAAATTATAGTTATATATGTCAGCAGTTGTATACAAATCTTCAATATTAAGAAATAATTCTAACCTTTGACATGATTCAAAAGACAAAAAATGCTGAACTGCTTCACTTTCTTTTTTATAGGTCTCTGGTTAGCATTCTAGATGCTAATAAGGCCAAAGCCTCAGGAATATATACTTAGTGGGCCAGTTAGCACCACCACCTTCCAGGTCCACTAAACTTTCCTAAATTCAGTTATACATGTTAACAAATGTTATTGTTCACTAAACTTTCCTAAATTCAGTTATACATGTTAACAAATGTTATTGTTCACGTGAAATACCTAGGTGATTGAGGGGCCGGCACAAAACTCACTGGTAGAATAGAAACTCACTATTTGGTTTGCAAATTAGTAAACATTTAAACATCCAGGAAGCATACTGCTCTGTGGTGTCCTGGAATTTAATGGGAAAATAATAATTCTAGTCACCTTTTGGGAAAAATATGTTCATTTAAAAATTGATCTCTTAGAGACATCAATGAGTTTACTCAATGAACTCTTGTCCATTCTTTCTCTATATATTGTTATCTTTTGGACCAGTATTGATTGAATAAAAGTTACATTTCCTTTTATTTGCTGGATTTATTTTGCAAAAAGTCTAAATTTCATCTGTTGCCAAGATATAATTTAGCTTCTATAGAAAATTCTATGGGAAAATGAGGAAAAAGATTTCCTCATTTCTGCTGGATTTTATATCTCAGAAGTGTACTCATTATTTATATGAATCGTTAAGAAGCAGAAATTAAATGGACAAAAATACAATTGCATCTTCAGTAGTGAAAAAGAGAGAAAAAAAGGATAAGAAGTCCATTTTGACATCTTAATACAGGGAGGCTTATTATTAATGCTAAATGTGTGATACATAATAAATGAAGATATGGTAGAAGAAAAAGCTTTTATTTGGCTTACACTTTTTAAAGCTCTCTTGCTTAGTTGCCCATAGTGGCAGCAACATGACAAGGGAGATATTTTTCCAGCTGTGCCTTCTAGACTCTGACTCAGCCTTGTGGATATAATTACTTGTGAGAACTTGAGCAACATCCGAGTAACAACCTGGAGTAAGTGAGTGGTTTCCCAACAGACAGTCAGTATCAATTAGTAGAACATGAAATCAATTTAATAATTTAGTAGATTTTGACCATTGCTTTTAAAAATGAAATGTAATAAGATAAAAGAGAATGGAAGAATAGACTGGACTAGACTAAAATAGGACATAATCAGAACAGATAGGGGGTGGGTAATATTTTGTGAAATATTTACTTCAGTTGTGTGTGTGTGTGTGTGTGTGTGTGTGTGTGTGTGTTCTGGGTCATGGTATAAAATATGCATCTCACTACAAGTTTTGGTAAAAAAAGTTTCAATTTTAAAAATGCATTGAAAGGAGCCTAACAAAGAATTGTGTATTTATTTCTGGGTATCTGAATTAAACCACTAAGGCTAATTTTCTTCTGTTATCTGAAAGGAAAAGAGGAATGGGCTTGATGCTTTAAAAATGCCAATTCTTCATAAAAACATACATTTTGGCTTAGCTAAATTCATTTATTCTCAGTTTACTATAGATGAAAGTAAGAATCTGAGCCTGTTTCAAAACCGGCATTTTTCATCACCTTGTAGGATTATCTCTATTCGAAATCATCTTGTATCTTGTAGATCTGAAACTTCCATGGTGGTTAGTTCTTCATACCATCTTTAAGTCCTAATCACACAGTGTTTACATTCCTGGTTATGCATCATGGGACGGGTGTGGGGGACAGTTGTGATTGCTCCAAAAGGCAGAAGACTGAATAATACTGACATGGTTTGTGAGCTGTCAGGTTTTCCCAACTCGACTGTGGGAGTCAGACTCTAAGACAGCTCCAGATACTTTCCAGCTCCTACTATCCATAGCCTAAGGTAAGCCCCCCCCTCTTGAGTAACTTAATTCTTACAAATCAATTGTAAAAACACTGAGGGAATGTCACATCTACGATTCTATTACAAAAGACTGTGGCTTCTGTCTTGCTAGCAGATTCTCAGATTGCCTTCTCAGCATGCACAATTTGATGAAGAAAACTTCCATGCAGGTGAAGGCCCCACAGGAAGGAGCTAGGGGTAGTCTACAGCCAAAAACCAGTTGGGAACTGAGGCGCCAGTTTCTCCAGGGACAGCTGCCTGGGAGCTGAACTCTGCCAACGAACAGATGACGTCAGAAGTGGATCCTTCTCCAACTGAAACTTCAGATGAGCCCCCAACTCTGATGCACAACTTGATAACAGTCTTTTGAGAGATTCTTAAGCAGAGGATAATCTATACCACACCCAAATTCCTGATCCACAGAAATTGAGAGATAATAAATGTGTCTTGTTTTAATCAGCTAATGTTGGGGGTAATTTGTTACATAGCTCTCGATAACTAATGCATTGGTGTCTACTCTGGTTCTCAAATAAGGGAAATTTGGCAATTTGGAAATATTTGGAAACATCTGGGGGGTCTTCACAAGGGTAGATGCCGGAGATGCTTTTAAACATTATACAATGCACAAGACAACCCTAGACAGAAAAGAAATTTTTGATCCAAAATGTCAACAGTGTCAAGATTGAGAAACCATGGTCTACACACTTAGGCAGATGCCAGTACATCTAGACAAGAGATCTTAAATCCCATATTCTACACACTATTTCTAATGCCTACTAATGAAAAGGAATTATTTGTAAATCTATTTCTGATAATCCTTTTGTAGGATCAATGGAATTTCATTCATTTTTGAGGAACACAATTTTTTAAAGAAATGCCCTAGAAAGAAAAGTATGAAATATGTCTCCATTAAAATATCTTAAGTTTATTAATTCTAGAGATGTGTCCATCCTGAAATGTATGGGTAAGTTAGAAGCTTATAATAAAAAATCTAAATGAGCTAGAGAAATTTTACATATTAATCTCTCTAAAGCAACACCAGAGAAGCCAAATCCATTTTTCTCTGTATTTGGCAAGTTATAATCCCCCTTAGGCTAAGACTCATTACGCCAAGTTCTATCTTACACCGCAATGGTTGACACAACAAAAGGAGCTCCGAAGATCCTGGTGGTTATGTCTGTAACTCTTCACATTCAAACTAAAGTGCTTCATGAATAAATCAATGGAGTTGTCATAGAGGGAAGGCCTGCATTTTTCCTCAAATGGAACTGTAAGCAACCAGTACACACTGTGAACAGCCAGTGTGTTTCATGTATGACCTGGCCTGTCAAAGAAACAGTGTAATTTGTATTGCATACAAATTGGTATATTTCTGGTACATAAAAACAACTTGAATGGTAAGGAAATAAATAGCGATATGTTTGTGTCTTTTCTCTTACTCAGAGCAATAATACAATTACCAATTATGGTTTTTTTTTTTTTCCAAAGGAAGCAAGAGTAGCAGCAGATAGATATTCCATGGAAGAAATAGCTCCTCGTGCTAAAAGCAAGAGCTGACAAACTCACGGTTACCATAAGCACATAGCCTCAGCACAGTCGTGCTCCAAATGAGG